TGAGCCTTGCTATGACTCCCTACTGCCTCCAGAGAAAGTTCACTGATCCTAGCATCCATCTAGACTTCAACATCTCCTGTATTTTCCATTGTCCTTTTCTTTAGTGCCTATGCTCTGCATCCTATTAATATGGGATTCTCTAGGTCTAAGTAACTGTTCAACAAAATTGAACAAATATGGAGGGTTTTGATTTTAAATAATGTGGAATAATATTTGTGTCTCTAGAGCACATGTAATTTAAAATTTACTATGAAAATTAACTCTTTCAAAACATTTTTCTAATGGGATAAAAATATTTTTAAAGGACTAATTCTCCTTTAAGAAATCAGAAGGGAAAAAGTTGTTTAAGGTCCACCATTGTTTTGTTTTCCTTGCAGTGCTAAGTTTTGAACCCAAGACCTCCCACATGCTAGGCAAGCACTCTACCACTGAGCTATATCTCCAGCCCTTTTTTAGTTTATTTTGAGACAGGGTATCAATAAATTACCCAGGCTTGCCTGGAATTTGCAATCCCTCTGCCTCAGCCTTCCAAGTAGCTGAGATTTCAAGCATGCAACACCACCCCTAGCTCATTTTGTTCCCCAATAAATAATTGAGTTATTCTATTTCTATGCTATGGTGTCATTGTGGCAACTGCCATCAGAAGTCTTCCTAAACAAGTAAGTGTTGGTGCCCAAGTCAGCATCTAATCAGGGAAATAGTCACCAATCTGTCTCAATTCAGGGACTTGTTAAAGAGGTGACAAAAAAAGTGGAGAAGCCAGGGTACTACTCAACAGCCTCTCTATGACACAAGTTAGAAGGACACTGGGAGGAGATGATGATCCACAGTGGTGGATCCACAAGCAAGATGTGGCAGCTCACAGAGGCTCTGCCTAATGAGGCTGAGAGTTCTCCTGAGTTGAAGAGTCAGGGTAGAGAGTCTGGGAAGCTGGAAAGAGTACTGTAGTGGAGAGATCCGAAGAGAGAGCTGCAGAGATCTGCAGGGGGTTCCCTTGGAGCCTCCAGGTGAGTACTAATCAACACACGGATGTGAGGAAACTGTACCAGAGATCAAGGAAAGAACCACCTGGAAGGATGAGAGGGAGCTGTCTCTGAAACTCATACAAATATGCTGCATGAGCTAGAAAGAGAAAAATGCCCTCGGTTTTCCCATCTCCCTCCCTCTACTCCTCTTTTCGCCTACGCCTCTTATTAGTTGGTGTTTCTCAACCTAGGCTGGGCACAGGAATCAACTAGGGAGCTTTAAAAAGTGCAGCTGCCTGGAGAGTGTGACGTAATTGGTCTGGGTATATCCTGGGCATCAGGAGCCTCCAAAGCACTGCTGATGAAACTACATTAGCTAAGCCCAGGAGACCAAATCCTGGGAAGCTCCAAACACCACCACCACCACCACCACCACCAAAAAAACTCAGATATGATCTTCTCTGGGTCTTTCAGGGCCACCCAGCTCAAACTGATCACTCCAGCTGTAGGGTTTCCTCCTTCTTCTAATGCTTTTTGCTATTTCTCCAAAGTGTATGCTCAGCTGAGCTGTAGCCCAGCAGCTGACTCTGCTCTGGGTCTGCCTGCAACGTCCCCTCAGCAGAGCCTGGTGCTCCTCCTCTTCTTGCTATTTGCATCATGTATTTCCCTCTTTCCCAAAATGACTGGCTAGTTTAGATACATAGGTACTATTAAGTAGTAACTTATGGCTAACAATGGATAATAAATATATTACTCTCTCTGGATAACAGCTGTAGGCAAAACTGACCTTAAATGTAAGAACTTCAGTGTTAGATTGAGTAGATTTATGTGTGTTAGATTTATGTGTGTCCCTTAAATGGAAATTATTTTAAATCAAATAACATAAGTCATGGCCTAATCTTAGATAATAATAATTTATAAGTTTACAGATTGTCTATTGCAATTTGTTTTGGTCATGACCCTACTCACAGTTATTGAAATGTTCTGCAAGGTGAATACAACCTTAAGACACATTTATATCTCTAGTTAACCATCCTGACATATATGGACCTAAAAATAAACTTGCTGTAAATCCCCAAATATTGTGATTTCAAATACAAGAAATTTAGTTTTTTAGGGTAAATATATACTATCCTATTTGCTAGAAAAAGTCATTGTTCAGAGAGGGACAAAAGCCAAAGTCAAAATCAGAAACCATTGACTCTGTGTGTGTATGTGTGTGTTTAGACTGAAAAGCTATTCTCTGAAAAACTGGGCCTGAAATACTAAATGGTTCAAAAGTGTACATGCTGTGTTAAAAACTGTTTTATGATGTGGGTTTTTCTTCATTTTAAATCTATATTAAAAATTTTTGTGAAAATAGATTTCTGACTATTCTGTCCACAAACAACTCACACACACAAAAAAAATTTGAGTTTAAACTGTCACCACTACATATTTAAGCCACCAAATCTCAACAATCACCACCTGACTGGGCTCCCAAAATTGTTATCAAGAGAAGCATATCTGTTTTGCCTGAGTACAAATGCAGGAATAATCTTACTTTAGCAACCAGAATCTTTTACATATATTTAAAATAATTAATATTACTTTAGTGAACAGAATATTTGAAAGAGGCAAATGACCACATATTGATGAAATCCTGGCAGGCTCTAGGAAGCAACAAGGTGACCACAGGGGCCACCTCCTGTCATCACATCATTGAGTAAGAAAAAAAGAGAGATGCTTTTGCGTGTGTGTGTGTGTGTGTGTGTGTGTGTATGTGTGTGTGAACATAATACCAAATAATTAAGGTTATGTGCACTATAGGTTTTTAAGTAAGAGTGACTAATACTACTCAGGAAAGGAAGACAGAAGTGTAAACTCACTAACATAAATAGTAGTGAAGCTACTAGGGCTTTATCATGAAAATACACCTCAGACAAAAGGCAAAGGCTGCTGAACCGGGGATGTGGCTCAGTGGTTAAGCACCCGTAGGTTCAATCCCCATTACCAAAAACAAAAAAGAAACAAACAAACAAAAAAAAAAAAACGCAAAGGAGGAAAAGAACTGTCTTTTGTAGGCATGAGAAAAACTTAATATCTCTGAAAGTAGAACCTATCTGTATATTCTGTACCGAGTCTGTGCTCAATTGATGCTATTGACTGATTAAATAATATGCTGTCTAGGAACTCCCCTTCTTGGTAACACCTAAATGGGCACTTTTTAAGGAACAAACCCCTGATTGTTTGAGGAGGGATACTAGAGTGCTCTACCACTGAGCTATAGCGTAGAGCTATAGCCCCAGCATCTTTTTTTTCCTTAAAGTACTGTCTTGCTAAATTACCCAGACTGGCCTGGAATTTGCAATCCTCCTACCTTAACCTCCTGTGTTGCTGGGATTACAGGTGTGTACCACCATGCCTGGCAGATTTAAAAAATCCTATTAGAGGTAAGATCCATAGGCTGCAGAGAAGTATCTAATCATCATGGTCAATCCACACAGCTCAGAGAATGTAAACATGGCCTGGAAAAGGCTAAAGGACATTCCAAGTCCTTAATGTTATAAGGCTCTTTTACAAAAAGGTCCCACTGGTTGTGCCTCAGGGACTCTATAGGTCTGAGAATCATCCACACTATGCCTTTGTTTAGTGACAAGAAAGGCGTCAAAGGATTTGAGAAAGAAGGGACAGGATATACCTCCCAAAGCAAAATCAAACCACACAAGGGAAAATATTCACAATTGTTTGGGGGAAAGAATGATTCTAGGTTGGAACTTTAAATGAGAAAATATTTTCTTCAGTTAGAAAGGAAATGAAAGGAGTAAAGATTAATATTTTCTAAATCTTGTCACTGTTTCTTTTTAATTTCTTACAGAAAGATCAGGTTTCAAGACCATCATGGACACACAAACACATACAGTTGCTTTCTTTTGATTATGGTAACTCGAAAGTTTAGGGAGAGACATGTCATACTTTTCTACAAGGCAGTGGTTCAATGCAGCTGGTTCCATATTTTGGAGTCAATAATAGAGCAGAAGAACCTATAGATAGCAAGGTGTGATTTGATCAGCTTTAGGTAAACATCAATGGTGACAAACGCTACAAAACAAAGAAACTAGAGGAATTCATAGCTTTTGTTTGTTTGAATAAAAAGAAATCATGAAAGATTTTTAAATAGTCCATGTCTTCATGGCAAAGATACAAAGATTCATGTAACAATTAGGAAAAAAGTTACATAAAGATTTACTCTGTGGAACATCATGGATTAGGGATTATGGTGGGTCATGTCATACTTTATTAAATATAATGTTTTTTTTTTTTTAACAGCACTAAACTTCAGCATGCTAGATAATTGCTCTATCACTGAACTACATTCCTGGCCCCTGTTTTTTGTTTGTTTGTTTTGTTTTGTCATTGTAGTAGGACTGAATGCCTTTATTTTGTCTATTTTTAAAAATATTTATTTTTTAATTGTAGTTGGACACAATACTTTTATTTATTTATTTATTTTTATTGAACCCAGGGCCTCATAAGTGCCAGGCAAGTGCTCTGCCCCTGGGTTACAGCCCCAGCCTTGTGGTCATCTTTACACACCACATATTCAAGCTTTACCTGTTGTCATTAACTGGTTCAGAATAAATGGAGGCTGGAAAAATAATCTACAGAAACTTTCCTATATAAATGTTTGATTCAGGTGGACTCCTCAAAGTCCATGGAACAATCTAGCTCACTAAGCTCCCACACCTGAAAATACTTATTTTGAGCATCTCTTAGCACACAGATAAACAGCCTACTGATCTTTCCAGAGTGGTGGGCAAGGGGAGGACAGCCATTTTTTGTTTGCCTGCTTGTCTATAATAATCCATCTAGGTTATTCCTTCCTGGCTTCCTTTGGTTTCCATTTTAAAGAGAAAGAGCAAAAGATACCTTCCTTGCCAACCCAACCCTACCCCCACACCAAATCAGAATACCTTAAATATGTTAAAAGGAGCTCTAGACTATAAAATGACAAAGCTCCACTGCTGAGGGCATCAACAGTAAGCATTTTCTTACCTGATGTGGCCAACCAATTCAATAAGCTTGTGACTAAAAAAATAAGCTGTCAGCTCAGACACGTGACTCAGGACTGAACAGACCCCAAAGAGGGTTGTAGTTCCATTCAGGTCTTCCAAATGCCAGTAGAGAAAGGTGAACACGAAGCCATATCCAAAACCCATGAACCAAGCCACAAATAACACTGAGCCATACTGCACGCTGCAGAGCAGTTTGATCAAGTCCCAAAAGTTGAAGGTCTGCGAGTGGCTCGTGGTGGTGGGTGTCTCCTCGGAGGACTCGGTGGAGTTGTTCCTTTCCACCTGAGGGATCTCCACCTCTTTCCCCTTGCTATCACTGTTGGTGAAGTGGTTGTAGCGGAAACGGAACTGGGTAGCCACAATCAAGGCCATCGTCATGAGAACTCCAAAGACGATGAAGACGATCTGGTAGTTCCGGTACTCAGGGGGCTTACACCCCTTGCCATCCACGAGAACTTCCATGTGGGTATAGTCAATCCCGATGCCCACGGACAGCATCGCCAGGCCCCAGCCCAGGGAGCCCCACATGCGCTGCAGTCCATAGCGGTCTCGGTGCTTTCCCAGATACTGGAGTGTCACTGTGTCTACAATCGTGACAGAAGAGGCACTGAAAAATTCTCCAATTATGACAACTACCAAGATCACCAAGAATATAGCTTCAACTTCTTGCTGATCATAAACAAGAGTGACTTGGTCAGAAGGTAAAGATTTGGTGGTAGTGACAATAGCAGTGGTTGTCTCCCTGGTTACATTCCCCGTGGGGGAAAGGGTTGCTGTGCTTGTATTCAGGCTCAAGTCCATAACAAGGTCAGTGATTTCATCTATCTGGGGCTGCAGAGTGGGTTCATGGATCTTGGTTGAAGCTGTCGAAACGATATCAGCATCTAAGATGTTGGGCCCCGTTTCTAACACTGGTGGCCCACTGGAAGGAAACAAGTCCCTTTTCTCCCGCATTTTTGGTGATATAGTAAGGAAAGAGATAGCAGAAGAATTTGTTGGCAAGACAGTTAACAGGTGACTTGCATTGGTGGGGTGAGCTGTTGGGGGAATCTTTGGTACACATCTCAAGGTAGCAGGTTTGACAAACCCAATGCCCAGGTTGAATAAAACCCAACACAAAAGAGAAAAGAGAAGGACAATTTTGCCTTTTTTGAAGCGGTCTGCAACCACACCCCAAAAGGGGGCACTACAGAATTCAATGAAGTATCTAATACCAACCAACAGTCCACTCTGGCTTGGCGACATTCCCAGCTGTTTATAATACACAGGCAAAAGTGGGTAAAGAGAGCCATAGGCAGAGTAAAAGAAAAAGTAAAAAACCTTGGAAATGAGAAGATCGTTGTTTATTTTAACACAATGTTTTTCTATCCAGTCTATTTCCTCCTCAGGAATAGCAGATGTTTCTGTGGAGGAGGGCGTTTCATTTGAAGGTGGTTCTGGTTCCCTGGAAATTCCATTGAAGGGATCAGCAAGCACATATTTTCTCTTCTGCTCCTCCTCATCATCAGTTAAGATAGCAACTTTATCATCTGCCGCCATGGCTCACCACCACCATCAGAAGGCTTATGACTTTTAAAATCTTGACTGTTGATCTGTAAAGCAAAATGTTAAAGACAGCTTAGTCATGAAAATCATAACATGGAAGCATAGGACTTCATCATGCAGGAAGATGAGTTTCACATTAGAGCTAACAAAATAACTGGAGAGAGAACTAGCATTTATTACTTATAGCCATATAATACTGGTACAGAAAGATAGCTTTAAAATTTTAAATACCCTTCATGGCCACTGACTCATTACATCTTTCAGTGGCAGGTTTATAGCTCAGGATCATTCTCAATCTTTTCACGGATTCCCAGGGAAAATGTACAATAGGGATTATGTTTAAACCTAATACAGGGAGCTGAAAATAAACACTATTTATAGTTTCTTGGTTTTACAATCACTTGATTTACAAAACCACTGCATTATGGAGTCTAAAAATCTTTAGTAATTAAAGAGAGTTAAAAAACCTTCAGTTTTCAGAGAAAAACAAACAAGTGTTTAATCACCAGGACAAACACAATGAGAACAAAGAAGCCAACTGTGTTCTGTAATGGGAGTTGGTTACCAGGACCATGAGAAAACATCCCAGTAAGGAAGCGGTAAGCAGTAAGGAAGCATTGCTAATGTTACAGACATCAGTCCCGATATGCTTTTAGGGTTTGCAGTTTAAGGGAACATCATCAAAAATAGGTAATAACATTCATTGTGGGCCGGTAGCAGACATTTATTGAAGGCTGGTTCAGTAGCAGAGTGCTTGCCTAATACGCATCAGGCCCTGGGTTTAGACCTTACCACCATCAGTCAATCACCCAACCAACCATAGCAAATTCAATCTGCTAATGTTTAAAAAGGAACATTTATTGGGCACTTTCTCTGTGCCAGGTAACATTTTAAGATCTTTAAATGCATTAATTCACATTCATCCTAACAGGCCTATCATTCTGTCTGTTTTACAGATGAGAAAAATAAAACCTGAGGAGTTTAATTAATAATTGGCAAGGCCAGGATTAGAACCTTGAGATTATGGCTTCAGGACACATGATCTAGTGTGCCCAAAATGCCAAAATGCTCAATGACACATTTTAGATAATATTATTAAACCTTTTTAGGACACAGTTGTTTCATATGAAAGATCAGCAATGTACAGTGGTATAAATTTATAGGAACTGTGTCATATTACACCAAAATTTCCACTTTCTTCTGATAGACAAACGGTCAAAGAGTCAAGAGGTCTTGCCTCACAAGTTGTGTCCTCTAGTTCAATGAACTCTTCTGAAGTTAAAAGGCATATCCACTAAAGTTTTGTTAACTCCTTTTACTTTCTCTGGTAGAGAAATACCAATTTTACTTGCCAATCCTTGTAATATCTTGCCTTCTCTTTTCTCAAATGAATTAACATTCTGAAAATATTCCAGAATAATGCATGTAAACATTTTTTAATGTCTACAAAGCCCTTCAGCAGACAACAGAAACACAAGTTAATGAGGTCTGTATAATTAAGTCCATTTATCTTATTCTCAGAAGTGAGTTGTCAAATAGTTTCTAGCTTTGAAAATATTCTTGCATTTTGGTAGTTTTTTTTTAATTGAGGTAAAATTCACATAACATAAACTCAACCATTTTAAAATAAACAATTCAGGGGCATTTGGTCTATTCACAGTATTGTACAGCCACCACTTCTACCTAGTTTCCAAATCTTGATTTTCTTTATGGTAAAAGGAAAAGTTCCCCACCCTGAAGAAAAGCAAAGTCCAGCTTCTGCTGCACAGCTATGAAAGACGAGTTCTTCCACACTCTAAGGTGACTTGGCTTCCATCATCAATGCCTCTACCTTCCCAGTTCATCAGCTCCAATTCCACTTTGTTACCTCAAAATGAGAAGTTAATTCCCCTTTGAACTATTTCCTAGTTTATTTTATTTCTTGAGCTCAGAATCAAAAGAAATGTTTGTTGTGTTTCAAATTCATACAGTTATATGGCATTTCTGGGTGAACTGGGCAGATTAAACCCATCTAATTTGGCTCCTTCCCTAAACCCACTGAAAGGAAAATGTGCGTGTGCACACCTATACCTACATTATAATCATAACCTAAGCTAGGAAGAGTTAAGGAGCACATAACATCAATGAAATAGAGATATTTTATACAAGTGATTTCTCACAAAACAGATCTCTTGTTTTTCCCTTTCTCAAGGTTATGTTCTAGCACACCAATGGGATAAATCAAGAGAGTAAGACACAGAATGCAGCAAATAAGAGCTAGAACCAGGAAGACAAGCAAAGGGAGCATAGGAATGATGGTGATTGAAGATCCCAGATGACATCTATGTGCCAGACATGAGAGACAATGAATCTAGCTGGAACAGTGGGGCCCAGGACAGACCCTCAGCTGAATAACACTGGTGTGGAACACCAACACACCTGAGCAGGTCCTAGAGGGTAATTTAGACAATTTAGACAATTGATGCATTCAGGGATGAATCAGTGGTAAATAAAGTTAAAAAAAAAAGTTGCACAAGAAAACAAAAAGTTGCACAGAAAAAACAATCATAGTTTACTACACATCTCCCACTGTGATTATAGTCACACTATGTAAACAGTGAATACTGAACAACCCAAATCTGCCACACAACTACACTGGAGAGGCAGGAAATGAGATGGCTGGGCAGATAAAGCTCTAAGGGCAGGAAGGGAGTCAACTTCACACCTTCCACAGCAAGAACAGATAATCCTCACGTCCAAAAGCTGAGAAACAGGAATATAAAGACAATCCCCAAACAGGCAGAAAGCAGCTCCTGGGAGGATAAACCAGAAGGGAAGGCACACAAGTCTGAAGGGCTTTTTGTTTTTCATGACTGGTTTGAGTCAAAGTTTGAAAAAAAAAAAAATCAAACTTTGTAAACTGGTTCATGTTTTTAAACTTTTGTGCATGAATAACTTCCATTTAAAATATAAAAGTCAATGAATTGTACATTTCAAAAAAGTAGAAATATAACGAAAGTTTTCACCATAAAGAAATGATAAATGAACCGGGCACAGTGATGCACACCTGTAGTCCAGGGGTTCCGGAGGTTGAAACAGAAGGATCATGAGTTCAAAGCCAGTCTCAGCAATGGCAAGGTGCTAAGCAACTCTGTGAGACCCTGTCTCTAAATAAAATACAAAATAGGTGTGGGAATGTGGCTCAGTGATTGGGTGTGCCTGAGTTGAATCCCCAGTACAAAAAAAAAAAAAGAAAAAGGAAAAAATAAAGGAAATGATAAATGAGATATATATACTTGAACTAGGCAATGTACACAGGTATCAAGTGACCCAAAGTACTCATTGATATGTAAACATTTGTGTTGTTAAGAGTCAGTTAAAAATAAATTTAATTTAAAAAAGAAAAAGAAATCTCCAGTTATATGAGCTTTGGCCCTGCAAGAGACAAGAAAACCTTTCCAATAGTGACTAAAAATATTTTTTCAGAATTGCACAAAATATCTGACTACATGAATTCTAATCAGGGGCCCTTTGGTGGCCTTTAATTATCCCTCATCAATCAACTGCTGAGACTTTACCAAGTAAGTCAGAGAAGGACACAAAGTTTTCGTAAGAGGCATAATTCCTTAAACAGTCCAAGTGGTGATGAAGAACTGAGGCCCAAATGCTCATCTGAAGCTGCAAGATACCTTACATTAGGAAGTCAGTTTATACCTTGACAAATGACATTCTCTCAAACAGTCTTTCCTCTCTACTTTCTTCAATTTGGCCACCACAGAGTTATTCAAGGTTTCTTTGGTTACAGAAGTCCAGATGTTAAGTTAGTTCTCAAAGTATCAACAATTGCAAAGTAATGTCCCGTAACATAATGTTCAGTACTTTTTATATGAAAGTCACACTCGGTAACTTTTATATGAATTTCAAATCCAAAAATACAAACAAAAACTCTTGAGTTTAAATTCAGGACATTAATTTTTAGACTTGATATTTTCACATTTAGATTTTAATGAAAAGGAATCAAAACATGGGGAAATCATATTTAAACAGTAATAAAATAAAGAGTAATTATAGTCACCCATATAATCACAGGACCAAGGATAAAAGAAACAAACCAAAAACATTTCTGAATTTTAATGAGACTAAAATATGTTCCAAAGTAGTTTATCTTTTGCTGAATTTAATCATAAAATTTAACTCGTCATGTCAAGTACAGATAAAGCAAGTATAAGGAATGGTAAAATATTTATATTCTGAACAAGATCCTTCACATGTTTATAAAATGGGGGCAGATTAAGAGGCTGATATAGGCTGAATGTCCATGTCCCCCAAATTTATAAGTATACCAAGGTGACTTTATATGGAGATATAGGACCTTAGATTTTAAAAATGGTCTTGAAGGTGGGATCCTCATGATGGAATTAGTGCAATTATAGAACTGGAAGACAGACAGATCTCTCTTTCCACATCATTTGATAAGAAAAGGCCATGTGAGGACAGTGAGAGAGAGACATCTAACAAGTCAGGAAATAGGCCTTTACCAGGAACTAAGTAACTGGCACCTTGATCTTTAACTTCTTAGTCCCACCCAGCACTCTGAGAACAAATTACTGTTTAAGCCACCTAGTCCATGTATGGTGTTTTGTTAGAGCAGCTTGAGCAGACTGATTCAATAAACATGAATCCATTCAGCTTGTATTTTAAACTTCTAATCATGAAGCTTAAAAAAAAATAAGGCCTTAAAAATAAAAGACATTTCAAATATTCAGAAATCTATGAATCTCTCTGGGAAATCGCTATTGCCAATTTGCAGTTGATCCTAATTGGTAACAGGGACTTTGGTTTATTTTCTAGATAACCTGAAAAGTTTTCTCATCCAGCACACTTGAATGATATTCATCAACACCACCACTGTGAAAACAGAACACAGCCTTTTAAAACCTGAAAAGTCATCCTACCAGTACCTATTGTGAATCATTCAATTAGTAGGTATTTTTGAATTATTGATGAGAGACAATAAAACCATTCTTGTTCAGATTGATAGCTTTCTTCATTAGGTATTTAAATTAAA